TATGTTTAAAAAAAGATATGTGTGACTTTTATATGTTTTTGAACAATTGTTTTTTTTTAATCAATTTTATTATTATTTGTTTCTTTCCAGACCACACAATTTTTATCTAAACATATTTTGATTCAACTTACTTTAAAAAGGAAAGTAAATTAAAATGGAATAACCCTATATACATTTTCTGTAATAAAAATACATTTATGTATATGATTTCAAAATAATGAAATAGGAAAAATAAAAGATTGTAATATCTAAAAATTCAGAAATCAATGGAAATGCTTAGAATAGCGATAAATCGATAAATTTTATTTATTTTTTTGCGAGATATTGGAAGGAGCAAAACATCGCTTAATTCAACATTAATATTTATATGATAATTAGCTACCTAGCGCCTGTGTTACACTTGCCTCAAATAAACGTGGCTCGTTGTTTGTTTATCAAATATAGCAGGTATAAATGAATCGAACGCCTGTTTTATAATTACGCGAATTCACGCGAAACCTACAATATTTCGTATAAAACAATGCGTGATAATTTTATGGCAATCGCTAAATACTCTCGGAAAATAATGAGTTACTTTTTTGCTAGTTGTAAAATTATCTAAAGATATTCTAATAGTAGTATAAATTTTCTTAGTGATTTTTTTATGCAAGATTTTAAAAAATTTGTTTGTATTAAAAGATTTGTGTGAAAATTATTTATAAGATTTTTGTATATAAGTTGTTCTACGTGATTTAATAAGATGACCATTGGCATAAAAAATTATTGAATTGCTTGTCAATTTAATTGTGATATTACGTAGTTTGGATTCAATTTGGAGCTGTATTTTAAGACTGACAAATTTTGGAGCGCAGTTTACCTGAATTGGAAATTATAAGATTCACACAATTATTATTAAGCACTAAGATCCGTTTCACTGCATTTAACATTAAAACAAAAATTTATCTAGTTGAACTTTCGTGGTTTCAATTAGGTTTGATATTAATTTTTTTAAATATAATATAGTTAATAATTAAAATCATTATTTTTAAATTAAAATTTTTTATAAGGAATGTAAATGAAGTAATAACATTGTTTAAAATATAATAATGTAAAAGATATTGTAAAATGTATTACTTTAGAAATATGCGTTTTGAAATGTTAACTTAAACGAAATTTATGAAAGTGTAACAGATCCTATTAAAATTCAATAAAATAAAGAATTCGGTCTAATAAAAGCATCAGCATACTACGATAATAACAGTTAATAGATAAAAAGATCGGCCGTCGAATTTCTTCGATGAGTGAACGAGAGCGTGACGCGAGAAATGCATTCAGATTTCCATAAACTTTTGTTGTGTGAAACAGTCAATTTACAGTGAGAAAGGGAAGGCTGAATTATTGAAAAATTGAATGGAAGTTTTGTTATTTTAGAAAAACGTAATATCTTAATTTAATTACGTATGATATTATATATAGGTAGGTATGTAATGTAGTATATGTAAAACATGTAAAATAAATGATATTATATATTAAATATATATACAATATATATATATATATATGTATATAAATATTATTTTTTATATTATTACAATATATATTGTTAAAGAATAGTTAAAAGAGGAAAAAAATTTTTATAAAAAATAAATACATAAATATATGAGCGTAGAAAAGTTGATACAAAAACTGGAATCTATTCGAGCTTCTTATGCAAATGAGACATTTCTTTTATAATACATTTACCGCGTTCATCTCGGTTAATTGCATCGGTGTGTTTAATTGCGTATCTTCCTGTAAAATGCACCGACCGTAAAACGCGCAATTAAACGCGCACCGATTTCTATTGCCGTGTCTTATAAATTTGAGACAATTCCATGAAAAGTAAGAGTAAAATATATATACGATATAATATATTCGTTTTATATTAATTTATAGTTTTTTAGTATTTATTGATGTGATTAATATAGTAATTTGGTATGCAATGCTATAATCTTTAAACTACATTGAAACTTTGTATACATCGACTATTTACACTATATTATAAAAAAATATGTCTGTAGATAAAGTATAAAAATGACAATTACATAATTCATTACGGAAATATATATATATATATTTGTTATGTTATATGTGATTTTTTAAAATACTTGTTTGTAATTTTATTTTTGTAAATATATTTACAAAAATGAAATTACGTTTTTAGTGTAATACATATTTCTTAGACCTAGCTAAATATTTTTAATTATAACTTGTAAAAATTTTTTAACAAATTTTTTTTTAATGGATTAGATATTGTAATATATGTTTACAAAAAATCAAATTTTAAGTCTATTTATTAATTGTGAAATATAAATGTTTAAACAAGGGAAAATCTTTAAAAATATTATTGACCAAAAATTTTCATTATTAAACATAACGAACTCAAATTACACATTGTTCACAGACCATGTATGTAGACTATAAAGATTGAAAAAGATTGAATAAATTGTAAATGTATAATTTTATTTGTATATATACAGAGTGTTCTCTTTTAATTAAAACATCCAATTTTCTCCGAAATTATTGATGATACAAAAGAATATTTCAGATGAAAGTAGAACGGTTTCAAGGGGAACGTATTTTGGACAAATTGCTTTCTTTAGTTGCAATTTTTACATAATCTTTTTTGCAAAGCAACTGTGTGTTTTCTTCACAAGTCAATTTATCTCATTACTCAGTACATAAAAATACTAAGATACAATTATTAAAAAAATCAATAGTACGATAAATATTTACGATTTGATATTTTATGTAAAATATTGCATATAAAGTATAAAAGTCTCGTAAAATATTGATTTTTCGATAACTTCATCTAAATATTTTTATATGCAAAATAAAAGGAATTAATCATATTATGTAAAAAAATTATATAATTCCATTATATAATTCCATTTAAAAAAGTGAAGGTAACTTTTATATATTTTTAGCGCCTTTACCTAGAAAGAAAGAAACTTGACCAAAATTCTCCTCGAAATCTTTCATTTGAAATATTTTTTGTATCATCAATAATTTCGAAGAAAATTGACTGTTTTAATTAAAATAGGATACCCTATATAATTTATATTTAATAAATAATTTTTAAATGTTATTGTACATTAAAATGTTTAATAGATAAAAAATTCAAACACATAAATATTTTAATCATATATAGAATATCAATAAACAAAAAATGTCAAGTATAAATAAATGAATTAATTTATATATTTTATAAATAATGAATTAAAATACAAAGAAAATAATATTCAAAAATATATTTATTAAAAATTAAAAATTAAAAAATTGAAAATTTTTACTTCTAAAAGAAAAATAATTTTTTGACAAGGATTATTTTGTTAGAAATTTTTTGATCAATTATCCAATATCTTTAATATTAGTCAATTATAATGAAAGCAAATCGAAAAGGCTGTAAGGAGTCAGCGCGATAAATGGTGCGTAAATTATAATAATAATTCAGATGTAGGTTCGCATCATAAAATATAATCTTTAGAATAATACAAAAGTTTTCATAAACGCTTCGGCTTAACTTTAAGCTATCATCAGCGTTGTCAATGGTTGCAGTTGTATAATTCCGTGCGAAAAGACTACTTGATCTTGAATTAAATAAAACCGCGAATTGCTTTTCAGCCAGTTCCAATACCGGATGGAAAGGCTTGGGATTACTATAAATCCACACCAAATTCAACGATCCATAATTAAAAAAGATATTAGATATAAGATGTCACAAAAAACAAATTATCAAAATTACAAATATGTAGCGTTATAAATTAAAATAAAACTAATCGATACAGAGTCAAGACTTAAAATCATTCAATTATACATATAACTGCATTTAAAGCCCTTTGCTAAATTGTATATTTGCGGTATTATACAAACACTATTGAAACGAAATATTGAGGATTAATTAAACTTAAGACAAGTCGATCGTTAGTTAAAATCGTTGTTAGAATTTGCTATAGGAGAAAAGAAGTCTAAAATATTTAGCAGCTATAATAGTGCATATTAAATAAATTGATATATAAGATATTTCGAATACTTATGAAAGCACTTTTTATTTATGTGTGTGTAATAAATTTTCTTTGAATTTTAAAATTTATTTCAAATTTTTTAAATTTTATTAATGTTTTAAAGAGTTAACAATTTTAACATTTTAAATATAAATATATGTATAAATATAAATTGTGATATATGTGTAGATGTTGATTGCATTGTAATAATTAATATAATACGAAATAAATAATAATAAATAATAAAAGAACAAAATAAAACAAGAAAAATAATTATATAACAATTATAAATAAAATAAAATAACAAATATTTTTATTTTTCAATAATGTATTTAAAATTCATTTATTTCAAATAAAATATTTTACACTTTTTTCAAGATTTGCAAACTAAATAATTATCGTAAAATAGTGTGAAATATCTTTTATCGCTTTTTGTCGAGGTCTCTTATCAGTGTCAATCTAATCAGCCGACGACACGTTGATGGATATTGTCGCAACATAGCGGTCGGAATTAAACACTTTTGCATGATGGATGCATAGTCCATCTAGTGATTCAGATCGACAATGATTAATCGATACCATTACATCCGTTTGCACCCACAAAAATGATCTTTATGAATATTATCTTTATATTATCGTTATACATACACATGTTATGCTTGTATGAAATAATTAAACATCCTTGTTCTCGTTATCCTGCGCGCTTTGTCTCTTATGCGACTGTTTTATTCCACAAGGTCATTGATAATGTTATCAGTGTCTATGGTAATAACACAGCAATGAATTTTGTCTTTGCGCTGATAAGATACAATTTCATTAGATGCAAATGTAAATAAATCGATATAAATGAACTATGAAGAGGTATTTGTGCTTAAGATTTTGCTTATTATTTATGTATTTATAATTTGTATTGAAACGTATGATAATTCTATTGAATGTTGTTGCGTATTTATTCACAAGCATGGTCTTGTTTTGCAGATGATTAGTACACGTGCAATTAATCGGTGTGAATTAACTCCGAATTAACAGTATGTAACAACGTCGCGGCTGAACCAGTCATGGAAATTAGATCGTCGAGAGAAGTCGGTGAGTTGTTTATTAAACTTTGTTTTGTATACATATTGTTCGCTTATTTATTATAATTGTGATTTGTATCTAACACCATAATTAAAGATATGCTAGTATATACATGTATTATTATACTGAGAAAAAGTACACCAAAAAAATAAAACTTTTTTAATTTTAATAAATCGTTAGTTTGCATACAACTAAATATGAAATTGTATATATATATTTATTTGAAGAGAGAACATAATTCCTTTATAAAGTTCCTTTATAACTATTTATTTATAGAAAATAATTATTTATTAATTATAATTTTTAATTATAATACAATAATAATTTAAACATACTATTTTTATTGTTGATTAGTGATTTTTCAATTATTTATTTATTTTATGAAAATGCTTTTCCTATAAGTAAAAGATTCACTAATTGTAATTTGGTAAAATATAGTCAGTATTTACTAATATAAATTTTATTTTTTATAAATCAGCTATTTTTTTTTAATATATATTTAATTTGAGAAAATAATTTGTTTATTAAGTAAATTATTCTTAATTTGTAAAAACTATTTTCATAACATAGTTAATATGCACTATATTATAGCTCTTATTTTTTTATTAATTACTGACATTTTACATTTTGAACAAAAATGTGGAAATGTACTTAAAATTTGGATATTAGTCTTATGTACAGATGCCAAATTAAACAAAATATATATTGTTGAAATATCTTTTATATAAAAATTTTGTTTCGTATAATAAAAAGACTTGCTTTTCGAGCATAAATTCGTTGTCATATCTGATATCATTACAACACAAGTGAAGAATCTTATAATGCTGCACCTTTTATTCATTCCTGTATGGTTTTTTATTTATGAGAAATACAGAACTCCACGTCTGATGACGGTACCATTCCGAAGTGAATAACTTTATATTTTGTAATACGAAAAAATTTTCTTAATTTTAATAAATATGTTTATTAAAATTAAAAAAAGATTTTAGTATAATATATTGACAGACTGTCAGAACTATAAAGACTAAAATATCTGAATATCAGAATGATATTCGGAGAAATACCTACTAACAATCGGTTATAATAGAGTATAAGATGCATTATAATCCTAAATTCGATTGGGAAAATGTAGAGGTTTTAGATAATGAGCGCTTTTTATATATAAACGCCGAATCATCGAGATGTTACACATTTAAATGCAAAAGATAGCCTATTTACAGTCAGATACAGAATTTTTACGTTATGCCTATATCGCCTATATATTTTTACATTATCACCTATATCGCTTAATAATTTAGCAATAGAATTTTAAATTTTCAATGACATAAATAATGTATTTGGTCTTTTACATATAATTGTTTTTATCTGGTGATTTTCGACTTGATTTATTAACCTTGACGATCAGTGATTTCAACTTATTTATTCAAAATTCTTATTTCACTGATTGTAGTAAGAATTAGAACGTTACGGTATAATGTGCGTCTATTTAATTTGCGAATTTTTACAATATTTGACAAATTATTTATGTATGCTTTTTGGCACATTTTAGTGAGATTTTTTTCTATCTTACCATTCCGTTTTATGTTTTTTTTTATTTTTTAACATATTTCACATAGAGTTATGACTGAAACTTTCTTTACTTATTGTCACATGACCTTGAAACCACGTGTCAGCAGCGGAGGATAGATAATAAAGGAATATTCAACAGTTCCAGCCAAGAGTTTTCAAATATCTTATTTCTAAATGCTGAGGCTCGAAATGTCGAAATTTAAAATAAATTAGCAATTTATCGAGAAGAATTTTGTGCAAATTGAACCACGCATAGATTCTCATTAGCCCCCTCTTTTTCATTTGATTAAAAAAAAATTGTTTTTAATGCAGAAGTATCTCAAATGTTATAGTTATTTAACCAGGGGTTGAATGGAGTTAAGAATGATCTATGACTAAATAAAGAGGGTATACATTTTAGGCGATTTGAGAAGCACGCAGGGATCGTTAGATATTCATTTCTTTCTTACTCAATTTTACTTGCTAAATCCGAAATTATAGTTAAAATAGTTTAAATATTAGAGAATATAATTTTGAGACACATTTAGGCAGAAGAAGGCAATGATTGATTTTCTCATTTTGTCGAGCCATGTCTGCAAATTTCTTTACTTTTTATTAAAATTATTTTTTTTATTAAAACCAATTTTTATTTTAAAATCGTGACTCATACTTAAATTATAGAATAAATGAGATTTTTTGAGAAAATTATTACTTATAGAGTGTGAAGCAGAATACTATACTTTGAGTTAATATTAGGACTTAAAAATAAATATCCTCTTTTAATAGAGATATTTAAATGCCAAGTTTACTAGTTTACAGAAAACAGATTATAATTATAAAAAATATAACAAGAAGCTATATAAATTTTTGTTTTAAAATATAAATTTTGCTAAATGCAATTGTAATTACTATTTACGTAATATTCAGACACACGTTTTCGTAAAGTATTTTTGAATATAGGCATATTTCAATAGAATGAAAGATTTCATCACAAGTTAAAGAAGTATGAATATAAAATAAAAAAATTTCATTTAAATAAAAAAATTTTATTTAAAAACACTTTGCGCTGTACATCTCGAAACTTAATATAGTAAATATGAATAATAATTTATTTAATTTAGTTTCTTTTTTTTTTCTTGTAAGGTTTAAATTATTATTTATGTTTTTATACTATGTTATATTTTGAAGTCTACATCGTCAAGAGTTTTAAATAAAAATTCTATGAAAATGAAATTTTTTTATTTTGTATTGTTATTTCTTTAATTTTGAAATCTTTCATTCTACATTTTTTTCGCTCTCGCTCGCTAACTCTCTCGATGTATTGCTAGCACCTCTTGCGGTGAAAATTGCAAACGTACAACAATTTTCCGTATTCACCGGTTCGACGATGATGATGATAACAATGATGTTTTTTAAAATGTCTAGATTTTCTCAAAATCTTTGCATCGCAATATCTTCGCTTGGAGAGCATGCAGAGGAAAAGTAAAATCACTTATTTTATTATGCAATTCAAACCTAAGCTATCGATTGAGCCTAATCAGACCTTAATCGATTTAGCTGTTATTGAAATCTGATATTCTCGGGTACTCACAACTCACTGGTCCGCGTATAGATACATGGCCTAGTCTCGCGTGTACTAATTAGCGCTGAGTCTCCTTCTAAAAGGGCAATTGATAATGTAACTATGTTATCACCTAAATCGAGGCATTATCAAGTTTATTTGGAATTCATATATCAAATGAGCTTTTGGATAAAAAAATGTTTAAAAAAGTAAACTTGCATTTAATAACCTAAGAGCATACGTATTTTCGATATAATATCAATGTAAGTTTTCAAATGCGAAAATTGCTTTTTTTATTCTGAATAAAACTGGTGCAGTCAATCTCGAGATCTCGAGATCTATTATGCAAATGTGACATTTTTTTGCGTTTTAGTTTCAGTTTTAATCACACGCAAAGTTTACATTTAAAGCGATTTTATTTTTTTCTCTCTCTCAAGAAGTTTATACATACAATATATTATTAAAATTATGATATAAGTGAATATTAATACACATATACGTACAATAATTATTGATATTGCAAATGAAACAGAAAAAAGGAAAAAAGGAGAGAGAAAAAGAGATGTGGACATGCACACACATATACTTACAATATACATACATGCAAATTGACAGATCATTTAAAAAATGAAATTAATTATAAAATCAATACAAACATTTGATCATTTTGACATTTTGAATTAATTTTTTATTTGACAATATATACATTTACAAATGTTTTATATATATTTGCGTGCGTGCGTGCGTGCGTGCGTGCGTGCGTGCGTGCGTGTGTGCGTGCGTGTGACCGTGCGCATGTGTGACTAAATTTTAAACATTTTAAATATTTATTATATAAAATATATTTGAAATTATAGTATATATAATTGGAAAAGAGATCAAATCTTGAAAGCAAATTAAAAACGCAAAATAAAATTTTTCATATATATTTAATAAAACAATTTTATATAATTTAAATTATCTAAAAAATTATATATAACGTATTAATATTTTTAATTTTTTAATAGAATAAATTTAAAAAAAATGTATTTTGATCACTGTCGAGATTTCAATATTATATGATATAAATAATCGTTAAAGGAATCCTAAAGTCTGTTTTACCGATTAAACAATAATTTTTGTGTAAAGACTATTCTATTATTTCAATAGATTTGAATTCCTTTTCTATAATTAAAGTATTTGCATTAATATGTGATGGACAGAGTTTATATCGAGAACAAAAAAAATTTTTTAATTCAGATCTCTATCATTTCTTAACTCTATGTGACGTCATATGTATAGCTGTCAAGTCGTAATAACACTGTATTTAAAACTCTGCAATGTGTATTTATGAAATTACGGTCGCTAAACTAGTAGATTACATAAAGAAACAACATGGAGTTCTTAGAATTAGATTTAGATACCTAATTTTTAAGATCTGTATACGAAAATTTTTTACGTAAAGCAAAAAGAGGTACATATATGATTCCCATTTACACTTTATATAATTATAACTTCATTAATAATCAATATCTAAATTTAAAACTTAACGACATTACATTTGTAAAAATGTTGTTTAATCGATTCTAGACTCAAGGTTATGAGATATTTATTGTTTAAGATAGTGTTTATAAAATAATTAAATTGAGAGAAGGCCCCAAGAAGTGTTTATAAATATATAAAACGCTACATCAAAAAAACTTGAGATGATAATGGTAGTCCTTCAAAAATAGTTTAAAAAAATTGATTTTTTAAACATAGTATTTGGTCATAAAATATGTATATCAAGCAACGCAGTAGCGCCAAGTATATAAAAGTTGGGTTATGACCTGTGAGTATAGGGCACTGGCACTGTCTCGAGGCGCTACCGCTAGCTTTAATTCGAAGTTTTGCCTTGTCAGATTTTCCGATTTTAATATCTCGGAAACGAAAGTTGTAATGAAAAATCTAATAATAACACTTTCATTATATAATGTCGATACGAGTTTTCGATTGAGACTAGTCCGAATGAAATTGGTGCAGTCAATCCCGAGATC